TCTGCGCCGCCTCTGCGGACCACTGGTTCTACACACATGCTAGGGCATACCGTGGACCAGTAGTCCGTGGAGGCGTCGGTGAATGGAAGCATTCATCTCTCTACCTGAATACAGTCAACAGCTTGAGCGTTGGTATACCGCCAATGGTCGGTTGTTCGAGCAGCCGTAGACAACAACCGGCCTAGCTCAAATCTGGCTAAAGATCAAATTGCTTATCTTATATTATTTAAAGGATGGCAGCTATAAATATCAGCATTAATTCGCAATGTGCAAGGAAACTCTGAACAGGGCAGCCGGTTTGTTGTGTACGGCTGCTGTTGTTCTTGAAACTCGTGTCATCTGGTCCTTTGTTAGCGTTCGCTTGATATAGCGCAGTAGCTGATAGTTGTTTATGTATGACTTTCAGATGTCGATGACATTAAGTATGTTATTAACTATGACTACCCTAATAATTCGGAAGATTATGTCCATCGTATTGGACGAACGGGACGTCGTGAGAAAAAGGTAAGAACAAGCATTTGTTGTAGCCTTTTAGAAGTGTAGGATAATGTGTTTGTTTACAGGGAACCGCCTACACCTTCTTTACCCCTCAAAATGCCCCTAAAGCCCGAGACTTGATAAAAGTGTTAGACGAAGCCGGCCAAGTAGTCCCTCAAGGCCTCCGAGACCTACAAGCCAGAGCCGGAAGTGGAAGTAGTCGAGGTCGATGGGGTGGCAGTGGAGGCGGAATGAAGCGTGGATATAATGGAGGAGGAGACGACTATGCCGCCAAGAAAGCCCGGTAAGCCTCTTCATTTTTTTGGCCAGAGTTCCGTCATTCTTCTCAGTCATTTTTAGATATGATGGTGGTGGTTACGGCGGTGGCGGCGGCGGTGGACGATGGTAAATGTGAATGAATGAGAAAAGAAATCTGTTCTATATAGCTTATTGTGTGTGAAACTATGATCTTCATTATGTATCCAATACATTAATAATAAACGTGTTACTTGTTAGTGAATAAAACTAATAAGTTGATTGTTTTCTTGTGTGATTGATTTGTGACCGATAGTCGTTTTTACCCTGAAAATAAAAAAATTTGAAAAGCTGTTGATGATATTATTTCTATTGGTTTGGTCGGATAGGTGAAGGAGGTTTGTGGGAAACCTACATGCTGAGATTATGGGTTGAACACAAGCTATCTTTCTGCTACAAGAAACTAGTATTTTTGGAAAGCTTTACAAACTGTTTTTGTCCAAAATTTTGCTTTTTTTCGTGCCCTTCTCAACATATAATGCTGCAGACTAGCAGTGGGACGTCAAATGAAACCACTCGAAATCTAACCGTAGGCAAGCAATGATCGTGAAAAGGAGGTTGAATATGTTGAAAAGTTGAAATAAAAGAAAACGAGCAATTCTTCCATCGGTACGCATAATGGAGCGTCGCATCCCCACTGCTGCACTAGAGCACGCTGTCTCAAAGCTGGATTTGGTGCTCAAAGGAGTAGGAGAAAAGGATGCCGAACAGAGATAATCATCCCTCCGGATGGGGCTGAAAATTGAAATCCATTTGATTCACATTTCGAAAAGATCTTGTCCTTCAACACAACGTGGTTGATATGTCGTCCGTCGCTAACAATTGGATACGAGCTTCGATGCGTAGAGATGGTTGTGATATATCTGCGCGCCGTTGGAGTCTCTCGGTGACGTATCGTCCTCTAACCTTCTGCGCGAGTTGTGGAGAGTTTTTAGCGGTAGTTGTACTCGTCTGTAGTCGCTGTTGTTAAAGGCAGTGTCCAGGCAAATCCAGGCACATGGGTTTTCCGCCTGAAAATTGATGAGGAGGTCTTAGCTGAGATACTGCC